TGTGCTAACAGGTGTATACCTGATAGACTTCCAAACACACGACGACTCACCTCCACATTACTAACGCATCCGCTCCATCCCACATGGGCTAAACTACGTGAACACCGACAATCCAAACTCCTAGTCGATGGATATCTTCTACCCGGAAATTCAAGGTTTCACAACCATGAAACAGAACTGAACGAACGGTACCATAATATACACAACCTTTCAACTTCAGTGAAACATCACATCTACGCCGAAGGTGTATCAGTCCTGCATATACTGCTCCAGCCTTGGAAAGGCGGTTGGTTATCTCCTTTGCTGCGCTACCGTCCTTGGTCACGCAGCTACTTAGATAGGAAAAGTAATCCACCGTAACTAATTCCTGGCCATTTAGTTTCAGAGCGGGATTAGGCGAAACCCAGTCCTGCAGCATCACTTTGCACTTTGAAGGTGCAAAGCGCATACCGAATGTGGTAATAGCACTTGTTCGTCTATCAAGTATGTTCTGTGCGTCATCCATACAGACAGAGGACGTCATCAGAGTACTCTAAGTCCTACAGCTTTTCTCAAGTGTTGCTAGTATAAGGCTCATCTATGTATTCTGGTTACCCTAACACAAGCATCCCAGTCGGAGTGTATTGCTATAACAAACCTTGGTGTGATGAACACAAACGTAGCCACGTAAACGAACTGTTTGGCTATGGGATTCAGCCACTTGAATCCAATTCTATATTCCTCCAGAACAACTGCGATCTGCCTCTTTCAGAAAACCACTTACATCAATGTGCAAAGTATAACGCCCTAATGTGACTGGAGTCATATTGTGCCTGATGGGAGCGAAATTACCCAGTAGCAGCAATTGGGACAGTGTAAAATCTTGATTCGGATCAGGAAAAATATTTCTGAGTGAAATATTTCAAATACATCTGACAACACAAACACTACCATTCCCGAATCCGTGACTTTCTGACAAAATCGAGGGGAAAGGATGTTTTCTTTTTCAGTTACGCGAACACAAAGAGCTGTTGGCAGAGTCACAAACCAAGCAGAAACGCAGTATGAAGTGAGCCTACATAAGAAAGCATACCTACTTCCTCTTTCAACGACTCTGACTAGGTAAGAAATAAAAGAAAGCTACCCAGTTCAGTTTTGAGTTCAGTTTGCACAACCATTAACGATGCACTATCGTGCACCGATTTCGGGTGTTATCTTTTGGCTGCCCACCGCGACTGCGCAAATTCTGCAAGTCGATGCCAGTCCTCCGTCTGAAATGGAGGTTTCCCCGGAAATGAGCTATCTCAAAAGGCAAAAGGCAGAAGGCCCAGACGGGCTCTCCCCATCCGTTTGGAGAAAGACAGGAAAGGTTGAAAGTAGGATCGAAGAGAAGATCGAAAATTTCAGTGGATTAATGATACAGAAAAATTGAGATGCACGCATGCCACTGTTTACGACATCCAGCCATATCACCGTGTCTTTAATCATCGGGTACGACCATCCCGAGGTCCCAATCCAGGGAGCCTAA